CGGGTTTCTTCGCTGAATTTAAATACGCTCGGCGATTTGTCTAAAGGAATATATGCGAGGTCTGCAGAAGAGGTTGGAAGGGGGTGGGGTGCGGGGGGCAGGGGGGCTGGAAGGAGAAAGAGGCTTTCGAAAGAAGAAGAAGAAGAAGAAGAAGTAGAGAAGGAGAGTGTATAAGGAGATCGGTTGCAGAGTCGAGAAAAAAGAATGAAAAAAGAAATGAGATTAATGGAACGCTGGATCAGGAGTATCACTCTTTACGAATAATGGTCCTGCATGCTGGGATAACGAATTCTGCTATCCCGATCTTAATACATCATGTTACTCCTGCTCGTATAAAAAAAAAACGAAGAAAAATAAGAAAAAAAAAAAGAAGAAAGAAGCAAAGAACATGATTTTTGTTCTCAAAGCGTCGCGTCGTCGTAATTTCTAACCGGTAATATCGAATACGATGTTGTTGTTGCTCGTTTCTCTTTCTCTCTCTCTCTCTCTCCCTGCACAAACTGTCGATACGTTTATTGCAATCGAAACTTCATTGACGATTACCGATAAACGAGAAAAATATTAATTAATTTTTCGTTCCCCTTGCTTTCCTCTCTTTTCTCTTTTTTTTATTATTATTATTTTAGTTTTCTTGACACACCGATACACATACGTACGCGTGAAATATGTGTATTTATCCGATACTTTAATACATTTTTATCGTATTAATAACACCGAATTGACGGATAACTTTCGTGAATTTTCTTTGTAAAAAATGATCACATCGTTATTTATCATCGTTAAAAATTTTAACGTTAGATACGATAGTAGAAAAAAGATTTGAGATTATTAATAAAAATTCGAATATAGAAAATGGAAAATAACTACGACGACAATAACAACAACGAAATAATCTCTCAGTTAAGTTTGATACTTATACGTGAAAATGGAAAATCGACAGATATGCCGAAGCTTATGCAACGCGGGGTATAGGAGTAGGGGTTGTTGGTTGGGAAAAGGGTGGGCATCGAGGAGTTGGAGGGGAGGGGTGCGGTGTACCGTGAATCCGACGTTTTCATTACTCGGACAAATCGAATTTTCCGCGATTGTATTACTTTGCCACCTCGCTGCCACTATACTATTTCCATTTTAGTTAACAACTTATGAGAATATAACCGTTACCGTTGCCGTCATCCCCCGCCCCCCTCGCCCCCCGCCACCCAAGTGGTTTTTATGGAGTATTGATAAGTTAACAAGAAAGAGAGAGAGAGAGAGAGAGAGAGAGAGAGAATAAAAGAAACTGAAAAGATCTTGGTAGTTGGAAAAAAATAATAACTTCTTCGATATATTTCTAATTTGAAGTTTGAAAAATCATTGTAAGAAAAAAACCATACCGATGCGATGGTTCATTCATTTGCCATATTTACGAGCGGATAAAAGAAAGTAAAATCGATTATTCGAAAAGGAAAAGAATCTTCCAAGGGAAAAGGAAAGCTCTTTTCCTTTAAAAGCAACTCGCCATTTCGTCTTATACTACTCTACCTACCTACGAAAAGGGAAATAATCTCATTGCTGTTACCCACTTTCCTCGATACACTACTTTACTTTCGTTTTTCTTCTTCTTCTTCTTTTTCCTTTTCTTCTTGATAAAATCCTTCCCTTGTTGGGCTGATATTTATTAGGTCAGTATTTTCCTACTTTATTCGTAAGTAATTTGAATAAAATATCGATATGCAATAATAAATAAAGGTTTGTTTTTTTCTTCAAACTATTTATCTTTCATTATGAAATAAACTCGCAGTCATATTATACGGGTAGTATTACCAAACTGGTTTTGTATGAATTTTGCAATACTCGCGTGTCCAGAAATTTTGTAACTTTGCTCAAATTTCTGGTACCTTGCTTGCACGAGGCTTGCGTGACACGCTTTGAAAAGTTCTTATATATATATATATTATAATAATTTAGTTATATAAATTAATTAATTAATATTTCAAACTAATTATCACAATATTTTTCAAATAAAATATCAAAAAAAAAAAATAAATAATCCTCGGACAATACGAAAAAATAAATAAATTTTCTTTTTCTCATTTTCCATTGAAAAAATTGGAATTTGATCGGCGATGAGATTGCGAACGAACGAACGGGCAATATTCGTGTCTAAAGAAAACTATATTACGAAAGTTCGATATAAAATGTCTAATGATAAAGATCAAACTGGAAAAAGGTGTCGAACCATTGGCAGGTTTTTCTCTCTCATTCCCTACCCGTACCCCTACCCCTACCCCCTTTTTCTCTCTATCTTTTTCTTTCGCAGGACGTCCAAGCCTTTCAAATCGATTTGTAGCCTTCCTTCCTTCCTTCCTTCCTTCCTTCCTTCCTTCTTTCCAAAGAGGAATAGAAAAAGTCCGACCAGAAGAAGGTGATATCGAAATCGGTAGTGACTGCTGAGAATGAATCTCCCCCTTCCAACGATCTGTCATCCTGTCCTCGAACAGCTTTAATAATTCAAACGCGATACTAATCACGTAACTTGAAGCAAACGATTCCACCATCCTACCTTCTTTCCTTCCTGTTATAAAACCTTGAATTTCGTCCTGTCATTTACTACACATGACAACTACGTCTTTTACGTTACCTATGTCAATCTGAAAAAAAAAAAACAAAAAAAAAAAAGAAAAAGAAAATGTAAGAAATGAAAAATGAACAAAAAAAAAGAAACCCACACACGCTTGTCTGATGGGAAGGTTTGCAGCAGTGGTCGATGGGAGAAAAATAAAGAACAAAATTTAAATCAAACCTTACGATACGAAAATTTCAAATGAAATTAACGATCGATTAAATCGAATTCGTTTGCAGAAAACTCGTTGTTTTTCTCATTTGAAAACAAACGATAACACGCGTTTTGGCGATTTTCCAATCAAACCTTTCCCACCAACGATCCTTCTCTCTCTCTCTCTCTCTCACTCTCACTCTCTCTCTTTTACCCGACACACGTTCCACAACCTCCATGTTGCGTTTCTGCGTTTGGCCGGAAGTGATTTTTCGCAATCAATAACTTCACTGTTTACGTACCGTGTCCTCTCTCTCTCTCTCTCTCTCTCTCTCTCTCTCACTCTCATAGTAAACGTTCGTATCGACTGCACCCTTCTCATCCTACAATGGTCCTCTTCACTCCACCTCCTCCTCCTCCTCCCTTCAACTACACCGACATCACCGCAACCCTCAAACCATTACTTTTTCGCTCGAGCAGTCCTCCACCTTCTCCTCCTCTTTCTTCTTCTCCTCCACCTCCTCCACCCCCACCTCACTACCTCCTCATTCTTCTCATCCTGCGGGGCATGCCGTAATTACATTGCGCGTACAAACGCAAAGACTTTTGCGGTTCGTACTTTTCTTCCCCCTTCTCACTCTCTCTCTCTCTCTCTGTTTCACTCTTTTTTTCTTTCCTCTTGCACATTTTTCAATGGCTCCTTTACTCCTTCAGTCCTTTTCACAAGGGCTTTTCGACGATCTAAATTTATTGGAATCATCCTACCTAGAGAGAGTACGATGCCCCTCGAGTGGAAACAATAAACGATTGACGCCGCGTGCTGTTGGATTCCGATTGTTCTCTCCTCCTCCTCCTCCTTCTCCTCCTCCACCGCCCTCCACATCAACCCATTCTCTCTTTCTGTCTCTGTCTCTGTCTCTTACTCACGATCGCTGCGTGCCGAGCTTTGTTTATATTTTAGTTTTGTTATTTTGTTTCTTCCTTTCGATCCCCTCAATGGAATTCATCGAAGTGCATTCGTGGTGCTTGCACTCTCTCTATCTATCTTATTCGCGTATTTTTTCTTTTTTTTTTTTTTTTGGAATAAATTATTTGTATATTCTCTATATATATATGACGCGTGGAAGAATTTTATGGGGGATTTTTATTTGTTTTTACTTGTGTTTATTTATTTATCGATCGGGAATAATAATACTACTAGGTATTTTAATTTTTTTAACGTACTCTCTCTCTCTTTTTGTGTTCGCTCTTTGTTTGGTGCGTGTATTTTATCTCAAATAATATTGTACTCTCTTAGGAAAAAGATATTTCAAAGGATATTCATATTTTTCTATCGCTCATGGAGAATCGAAAATTATCCTGACGGGTGTTGCGAGGGCACGTAATAAGGTCGTGCATTGACTCAACGTGTCAAGCGTCTTCTTCGTGTTATAAGGAAAAAAAGGAAAAAAAAAAGAAAATTAGAAAAAAAGAAAACAGCGTTGGAAGATGAAAAATAAAAAGTAAAATAAAATAAAGAGAGAGAGAGAGAGAGAGAGAGGTTTACAATAGATGAGAAAATGGAGAAATGTTAGTGGAAAAAACGAAATTGTAAAGACACGCAATTTTGTAGAGAAAGACTTCTTCTGCCACTCGCATTTACGAAAAAGTATCCTTCTGATACGATGCGACATTCTGTAAAAGAAACAGTGATATAGAAATAGATATAGAATGAGGAAGTATAAGAGAAGAAATGTACGCGTGGTACTACACCCTCGCGTGACCATCGTTGTAAAAAGAAAATACAATTCGATGCAGCAGGATGCACACAGCGATGCGGAAGTTTAAATGCATTTCGAAAGTTACGTTGATATCTTCAAAATAGTCTTCCATAAAGCTAGGGGCTCCTTTTTACGTTTATATATCTCGCGTTTAATAAAACAAATATTCTCCATTTTATACAACGTATATTGACAATGTTTCTCTTTCTCTCTCTTTGTATTTGATTTCATTTGAAAATCGGAATAATGTATAAATCTTTTCAGTATATATATACATATTTGTTTGCACCGCGTCATCGTTTCGCTTTATAGAGTATAATTATATTTTTTCGACGTTTGAAAAATGATGTTTTTATTAAAGAAAAAAAAAAAAGACTTGCTCGATGTTTCAACGACAAACGGTAGCGAAAACAAGATTTCAACGAGATCTACGAGATTTTTCCCTCATTTCTCCTCCATTTACTTTTTCTTCTTTTCTATTTCAGATGTGAAATGTTGCCAGAAGTATTATCACAATACTACCGTATCCCGAGAGTAATTGGAAATCGCAGCAACGGGGAAAGGTGAGTTTCGATAAACTTCTCTTCATTGTTTTATCGGGAAATCGTTATGTATCCATTATCTATTCAAATTGATCGGAAGGTCCGAGGTAAAGTGAATGATGATAAGAGAAAAAAAAAAGAAAAAAAAAGGAAAAGAAAAAAAAATATATAATATGCAAATGAAAAATAAAGTGTGCAAATAATCAAATAAAATTAAACAAACAAAAAATGTGGGGCGGGAGGGAAAAAGAAAAAGATGAATAAAAAAAACAAAACTCGTTAGCTCGAACGCGAGGGGTAGAGAAAAGAAATTTCATGAAAATTTTCAGCCCACTATCGATCGTATACAAACATGTATGTGAGTGTGTTAATATATATATAACACGCATGCACTCACGCATACACATTTACTTTCCCTCGCGTTGTAAAATACACGTATATAAATATATTCAACGTTATTTCGTTCAATTTCACGTGCTGATTATCGGACGGTTCGATAATATGATAATCGAATATTTTCACTTGCAAATAAATGTCAATCGTATGTAATACGATAACCGATAGACAGCACAGATAACATATTTTGATCAATAAGCAAATAATTTTTGCCCTTTTTCTTGTTTTTATTTGTCTTTTCTGTTTCAGGAGCTTCTGTGTCGCGTCGTTCCTCGCATCATCGAATCCCAAGGTCCCAAGATTTGCGATCTAACTTAAATTTTCCTAACTCTCTCTCTCTCTCTCTCTTTCTCTATCTATCTATCTATCTATCTATCTATCTCTACTTATTATCAACAAAAAATATTTCTCTCACGACTAATCCACAATTATATTCCCCTATTCCGAGATAAGATTTAAAAGAAAAAAAAAAAATAAAGAGTAAAAATAAGAATAGAAAAAAAAAGTAAAAACAAAAAAAAACAACATACACGGTGTGTCAAGCAAAGAAAAGAAAAGAAAAGGAAAAAAAAAAAGTAAACAACCACGTAAACTAAAGTTAAACGACTTATTCGTATTTTTTGAGAATCGTGATATAGCTTCAGTAGTTGCGCAACAAAAAAAAAAAAAAAAGGTGTAATTAGAGCGAAAAAGTAAAAAAGAAAAAGAAAAAGAAAAAAAAAAAATTAATAAAAATAAAGCATTATACAAATAAATAATAAAGTAAAATAAAATAAATGCAAGCCCACGATTGTATCGCGAGGAGCAATAAGCCCCGCGCGCTACCTTGCACCCTTGTATTTGCAACGAAAATAACATTTTTCTCTCTCTCTCTCTCTCTCTCTTTCTACTTGATGAACATAGTTTAATCAATCGATCGATTATTCATTATTACGTAAAACAAAAAGAAAAAAAAGTTAATAAATAAATAAAAAACAGGTTCACTCTTCGACAAGTAATGTGTAACGACTCGTTTAACAAATAAAAAACTCGAAACGGTGATTTAATGTAAATAGTACACGGTTTTGTATATTTGTAATATAGATAGGGCATTTTATTATAAACAATAAAGTTATTTATATATATTTTAATCACAACGAAATGCATTTCTCATAATTATTATTATCTACATCAACCCTGTTCAAATATTTCCCATTCTTTGATCCCTTAGATCATTTTTTTTTGGGTTTTTTTTTTCTGTTCTTTTTCCCTTATCTTTAACTATTCTTCGTTCATTAGTATTCGTTTTGATAAAAACATTATAAACAAACTGAAAGGGTTCTATGTTAGTTGAAGCTTTTCAAAACTGGTATTATATATATATATGTATAAAGCATGGTGCTGTGTAAGCTCTTGGTAAAACCCTACTCGATATTTTCAACGTTGTAACGTCGTAGTACAAGACGGATCGACGAAGGACGTAAATTGTACGATCTAAGCGGCTTCCCTCGACTTTCTCGATCATAAATCATCCCACGTAGTAACTTGCGAGTCGTTGAATTAAACACTTTATCGGAGAAAAGAATCTTTTTCTTCCTTTCTATCTTTCTTTCTTCCCTTTTTTTACCCCCCCCCCTTTTCCCTTCATTCCTTCCTTCCTTCCTTCTTTCTTTCTTTCTTTACAAAGAAGAAAAACACGTCGCGTGCACGCGTCTCAAGTGTAAAAATCATCGGCGACGTTGATTCTACGAGAGTAATTTCTTTTGAAAGAAAAAAAAAACAAAACAAAAAAGAACTAATAAGAAAATATACTTTCATCATTATCGGTTTTTTATATTTTTTTTCATTTCACTTTATATGAAATAATAATAAACTTCATTTCTAGTTTCTTTCATTCGTCCTATCGATCCAGTTTTTTCCTACACTGCACTCTCTGCTCCCGATTACTTTTCCAACGATGAAATTTGTTACGAAAAATGATTTTATTAATAAAATGAAAGAAGAAAAATACTATATACGCACGTTAGAAGTTATACTCTTTTTTTGCGTAACAAAATATTTTTTTTGTTCTCAGCCTATACGCCTTACAACTTTTCGCGTATGTTTTTTTGATGGATACTTTCTTTTAGATACATTTTTATAACGATAGTAATAGGCATTACATTTCTCTGCATTAATTTTAGAAATCTTCAAAATTGATACTGGTCAAAAAAACTGCAAGGGATTATAGTTTAATAAGAATTATTATAGAAAAGTATAACTCTTAAAAAATAGAAGAAATTAATTCCCGATCATTTGAATTTATATTTCATTTATTATATTTGTTATTATAAACATTCAAACAATTCTTGAAAGATTGATATTCATACGAGAGTTGAAAACTGCATCGCATAAGCCGACTGGCTCTGACTGTTGCATTTGTCTGGCCAGTGCAAACGACTAAATGCAAAAGAAAATGCTAAACTTCAAGGTAAGTTTAAATATAACTCATGGTACGTTGTACTATAATACTTACATACACAAATACACACAATGTATATATATATATATACATATATATACATTGGAGACATACACTGATGGAAATTTTCAACGGTAAAATCCTTTTCGTGAAACCAGGGAAATGCTTGGAATATCCAAACACCGTGGAAGGATGCAACTCACATAAGCAAAATATTCGTAATGTGTATTTATAAAATTCGACTTGTACGTTAGCACATTCTCTTCTCTATATAAAATGATAGAAACGTTATGTATTTTTGAGATTTTACCGAACGAACCATAGTCATTTATTTCCCGTTACGAATTGGAATTCCTACTCTAAGGCATGAATGCATTATTGCATCTATGCATGTATGCATTGCATATACGTATGTATATTTGTATGTACTCTTGTATCTTCGTTTTTGATGATAGGATCAAGATAATCCATATTGAAATTTCACAAAAGGATATTCACGAAGTATATAAAATCGTGCACGCGCTATTATACCGAATCCATATATTTACTATTGACCGGAAAAAAGAATCCTTTCGTTTTTCTATGGGAAATTCCATTTTGTACGTTCTCTTCTAATGTTTGTCTATTACTGCAATCCGTTTGACAACGAACAAGCTCCTATGATATACCTGGTACTATTTAAAACAGATCATTCGAATAATGTAATTACTATTGGTGATAGAAAATAGGTCGTAGAAAATTTATTCGGTTTCTTCACAGTATTAATTACAATTATATTTTTTTACTTTATATTTTAATGTCAACAAAATAAATTATAATGAACAGCTCATTGCACTTACGACGCGTGTTTAGAACAAAACGTATATATCGGTTTGTACATAGACAAATATTTCATATATTATTATAAACAAAAATTATTTACAATTGACCTATGTGTGTACGATTTTTATGCGCTAAAATTAATATGAAAGAAAAAAATGAAAAAACCTATTAGCACGAGAATCACGTGGTACTTTAAAAACCGACTAGATTTCATACGAAACGTATTTCTCTATCATCGATAACAATCGTGTTATTTTCGGGAGATTTGTTTTAAATATCTAACCCGATACATAGACATTTATCTGGACATATAACACCACATATATACGTGGACACTTATATACCGAGAAAAACACGCGGAATAGATCGAGAAGGATTTTCCAGGCCGATTGGGAAGCTTTATGCATTGTATATCTAAAAACTGAAACGAGTATCTCACTCGGCAAATCGTAGCCAACGACTAACGGAACGTATCTCGTTCGATAAAATAACGAAAGAGAGAGAGAGAGAGAGATATATATAAATAGAAACGTTCGTTTTATATAACACGATCTTTCGATACAATATCAAAATCTCATGTGTCAAAGGATTTCAACGATTCGAAATCTTTCAACATTTTTATGGCTACCGGCCAGAAAGATGCTTTCGAGATCGAAGATTGTCGGGATGATTTAACCCGTTTGCACCACCGATATCATTCCTGAAAATTGTGGTATCAGCTGGCACCAATAGCTTCTTCTTCTTCTTTTACTCCTTTTTTTCAGAACACGTACAAACACACACACACATATATGTATATATATATATATATATATTTTCTTTTTCTTACTCTCGTCTCGCTTTTTACACTTTCTATCATATTCTAAAAATTCCGAGTGGTTCAATAGCTTTACCATGAAACTTACGAATTTCTTCGAAACATTCCGTCCAAGATATTTTTCTACGATAACTTCTACGAAAAAGTGAAAAGAGAGAGAGAGAGAGCGAGAGAGAGAGAGAGAGAGGGTGGAAACGGGGTTGCTGGTAAAGGGTGTAAAAGTAGGGGAGTAGCAACGTTCTTTACAACGCAAGTCGATTTCTTCTTCTTCGTTCTTTCTAATAAACTTTTCTTCGAGCACACATACACACACACACACACACGCGCGCGTTCTTTTTTTCGGGGAGGGTTAAAAGTAACTTTGCGATAAGACGTAAGATTCGATAGAAGGAAATCGTCGAAAAATTTCAAAAGGAAAAGTAGTCTCGATTACACGTAGTAAGTAAGTAAGTAAGTAAGTGAGTAAGTGAGTGAGTGAGTGAGTAAGCCACGAATACTCCGACAATCTATTTCTTTTCATTATTTCATTCGATTTGTTATCTCGATAATGCTCGGATGAAGAAAAAAAAATCTTTAAAAGTGGTATCATTCTTCTGGAAGAATGATCTTTTTATTTTTGTAAAAAGTTGAAATTATTGTGATAGAAAATATTTATATCGCGAATCAATCGATCGAAATTGTTCAGTGATCTCATTGTTTTACAAATAAATACGTTCTATACTATTATGTAAGAGTTAACGAAGTAAAAAAAAATATATTTCATATCATATTTTTATTAGGATAAAAATCTTTACAAAAATTATTTCAATAGTCTCAATGTTTTTCTTCGTGGACAAAATATTAAACAAAAATATATTCGATAACGTTTACGAACAGATATATTATATTACGACGAGAAATGTTAATTATTTTATATAATAAAAATACCAAAATGATTTATATATTGAAAAGTAAACAACAACGGAACCAAAAGAAGAAAGCAAATTTGTTAGCTTTTATTGAAAAATCCCATGCATAAAATGATCATTTCATAGAGATTTGGAAGTGTTCTGTTAAAAGTAACGTATACACACGAGGATAATCCATTATCCGTTACGCAGTTTTATCGTCTAGAAGGTATACACCGTGAAAGGAGAGAAAGTAGAACTTTATCATGAAAGATTGTGGGTAGGTATAGTACATACATATATACATACATACACACATATATGCATATGTACATAATATAACATACTTACACACACATATATATACATATATAGGCAAAAATGTTATCGCGAAATACGAAAAGGGTTTTCATTTTCCGAAGGAAAATGTTCTCCTGAAAAAACATCGTCACAGTTCTCATCCTCTTCATAATGGTCGTCGTCGTCACCGTCGTCGTCGTCGTCGTCGTCGTCGTCGTCGTCGTCGTCTCTAACGCTTTATTTCCACACTGTGCTTCTGTAATATTTGCTGCGAGTTATAAAGAGTACTTCTTTCTGGCGCAATTATACGCTTCGCTTGGAAGCCAGCGCGCATCTAGAAAAGCGGTCCCTTAGTTTTACCAGTTTTTTAGTCTACGTGAACGCCAAGAGGAGAGCAACGTTTTTCCGTTGCTTCTCTGTATCCCCTATACAAAATTTATATATAATATATATGGAAATATATAGACAAGGACTACGGTGAAAATAATTTTACCAATCTTACCAAAATTTATTGATTGATAGTTGTCTCAAACGATTATTAGTTGTATCTAATTTTGTGTTTGTTGCATTTAATATTCACGCATAAGAAAAATTTACTCTTACAATTATATTTTAGAGAAAAATTCATTAATATTATATTCAATTTTATATAATTTCTACGCAAACGTATTTTTAATATATCGATTATAATACAATTTTCCAATCTAATATATTTTATTTTGGTTTATATATATATATAAATCTTACCCACGTGTCGTAGAAAATATATTACAAATTGTATAACATCTAAAAAAATATATATATTCAATATTTATCTATATATGTATAGATTGAATGATAGATACACAAAGAGAGAACGTTTGATAC